AACGCTACGTTTTATACGTCGAAATTGATACGGGTGCCATGGTCAGTGAATGTATTTAACGTTCGTACACGTTCAAACGAATTTTAAATTTATGCAAACTCTTGTTTATTTGATTTTAATCTTCGGGCTATTTTTTCGCGATATTTCATGACACATTTCGCGGATGGATTATTCGAAGAGTTCCATAGAGATTAAATTGTACACAGGTTTTTATTTTATTTTATTTTTTTTTATTCTTTAATTAAAATAAGAGAATACTGTGTATGATGACATTGCTTGTTTGTAACGTAGAAATGTTTGCCGTTGCATTAACGAAATGGAGAAAAACACGAACGGGCGTGTACACTTTGTTGCAAAACGTCGAACGGGAAAAGGAAAATTTATATTTATTTTATAGATCGACGAAGTTTGCGTAAATCGTACGGCACGGTAACTAATACGACAAATAATAGAAAATAGAAGTTGCTCCTCGTAAATTAAATAAAAATCTCCGATTCGACGGATATCAAGGAGCAGAAACGACGACGGATAAATCCGGAAATTAAAACTGTACCAGTAAGAACTCCGAAAGAAAAGGAACTGCGACGAGGAAGAAGCTACAAAGATGAAACGGATTCATTTTTATCGTTTCCTAATCTCATTCCGGGCGAAAAGGAGAAAGAAGAAAAGGGAGCAACGAAATTATCAGTCAATATTAAACGACTCGTTAACGTTATTATATTCCACGGTTTACTTTAACACGGTCGGAACGGTTGACTAGGGGGATTTGCGAAAAAAAAAAAGAAAAAAGAAAAGGAAAAAGAAATCGTGCACTTCATTACGTCTAGCTTGTTTCTTTCTCGTTTCATTCTTGCCGATGGCACACTTCCAAATGCTGCGCCGAGAGAACGAAACGAGCGGCCTGACCTCGCCTGCTAATTGTTGAAACGTCGGAAGCCCGAAAAAGCTTTGTTCTCTTCCCAAGTACGTTAAAAGCACCGGAAAAGTACGGAAAATCGTGCCGCTTCCGCCGGCGACTATGATTGCCGCTATCACGATGATAATTTCATTGAGTTGTCGTTACATCAGACTCACTCTCTTTTGGACTCTTCGTCGACTCGCACGTGTCGTTCACGCGTGTACAAGAACATTCTACAAGATAACGTTATTCTTCGCTCGTTTATTGTCGCTGTTTTTCTTTCCTTTCATTGTCTACCCTGTGAGAGTTGAAAATTGTGACAGATTTTTGCTGCCGGAAGCTTTTTGTACAGAAGAATTATAAAATGAATAGAATAAATTTATGGACAGTGAAACAATGACACGATAGAGACAATTTGTGGACTTTAGAATTTTACTGGCCAACGATAAATTTGATAAATTACAAGTTAAAGATTTTAGAAATTTTCGTCACACTTTATACCGATTTTATTTCGGGCAAGATGACAATAAGATAGCACGGTATGATTCAATAATAAAGCATTCGATTGAGGAAGAAAGAATTAACCAATAATATGGATCAAATTTCTGTCAAGTCAAAGGATTTTAGTTTTAGAATTTTTTCTTTTCTAGTATAACAAATATAAATAGGATACAAATAGGAAATAGAGTGGACCGCTTCTAATTCTGTATTAAGAAAGAGAAAATTCACCGCAAAGCAAGAAGTTAGACATTGTATAATACCCTCAGACGTCGTTGAAGAAGGCCATTGAGGAGACAAAGGGTCTCTTAGAAATTTCTTTTCACTCTTCCACTCTTTCTGTTCAAAAATCTGTCCTATTAGGATTATTTCAAATGTCTCTTATTACCAAAAAAAGTTAAAAATCTAAGAATTTTTAATAAAAACATGGAACAAAAAATCGTCGTCGCCTATACGTTCTTTCGATACTACAGTGGCTTTCACGGAGGTAATTGGACACTTTTATGAACGTAAAAATTTCCCACTGCGGTGTTAATGAAATTTTGTAAAATTCCTCCGTACTCGTAAAATATTTGAAAATGCAAAATGCATATAATCTGGGAAATTACTAGCAATCACTGCGGCACTTAACATTTCTTCAATTATGTTCACAAAAATAATAAATCTGCAGTCCGTACAATGATATATTCGTAAAAATTTGCAACGTGATTTAAAGAAAAATAAATTCTGTCCTACACTCGCCATCAAATTTACATTTTTTTTTTCGTTTCACGCCTGTTCCGCGGGAAATCGTCGCGATCGGCTGACAGATTAAAAATCGTTTCGAACGTGAGAGCTTGCGAGACTCTCGATCAACGCGGGCGAAATAAATATTTCCGCAAACTGCGCGGAATAAGACAAAGCTTGGTAATAAACGAAGTTTCGTATGAATTTCGCAGAGGGGCAACAAAACCATAGCCGAGCACGTTCCCACTTGAAACCTGTTTCAAATACACGCGTCATATTCCGGCCCCGAAATGCGCTGTTCATTTTTCACCCGGCAGCATCAGTTACGTTTCGCACCCTATTTAATTTCCACGCTGGCTTCCGAAATAGGTCATATGTACGTTCACCGACGTGCTGCTTGCTATCCGCTGAGAACGTTGCGCACACGGATGCACGCGCGATTTCTTCTTGAATTTCCCAGTTTTTTTCCATTTCTCTTTCGCGTTGCGCCGCGGATTCCTTTACATTTTTAACGTTTCCTTGCCGTGACTCGCGCACGGAGAAAGTACACTGTGGCTTACGAAAGTATATTCGAACGTTTATAAAAATCTTTTATACACATTTTATGTGTTTTTTGTAGAGAACATTTTGAAACTCTATTAATAATGTAACGAGGCTCTCTCTAGGGATAAAGAAATCTGTTTCTACGGTTCCACTATACGTACGTCGTAATAAATATTCTACTCTGGATATTTTATGTATTTTTGCATTGTGTGCGTTTTTTCATTGTGCGACTACTCGCGACATGTCTGACCAGTAAGCGATTGCTCTACTTACTCGACTCGGCAATATTTTAATTCCTCTGACATTCGCGTATTATAAAATACATATGTTAGCTGTGAATTTAGCGTGGATATGTTAATCACAGCTGTGAGCATATATTTTCTAGAGAATGAAGGATATTTAACACAATTTATAATTTTCTTATATAAATTTTATATATTTATAACAGTGTATTTTTAGACACTCGAATGATTTTTAGTAAAATGTATTAATAGAAGCTCGTGTTTTTTTTTAATTGTACTATTAACTTTTTCTTGCATCTTAATTTCTTTGTTATAAATATTATACTTTAGTCGTCGGTAGTTCTAGTGTTAAACTAGTGACCAATTATCAGTTACAATTGTAACCATTTTTAGTGATAATTATTAGTAGTTTAGTTATGATATGTGAAAAGTATAATATAAAAAATCGTATAAAAAGTATAAAAATATATATAATATAAAATATATATATATAATATAAAAAATATATATAAAAGTGGCAGTGACAGAAATAGTGAATAAAAAATAGCAGCGAAAAGAATAAAAACGAAATAAAAGAGAAAGGACACTGGAAATTCCGCCTTTATTACGTGTATGGCTACTTATTCCCCATAGACCGATATCGCGTTCCATTTCTATTCAACGAGTTTCTTGTCAGCTTTGTTCGCGTCGTCGAGACAACCGGGAACAGTTGCGACCAATTGTAAAAACGTGCAATGTAAGTATGGTCGCGAGGGACCAGTGGTCAGATTTTGTCAATTTTGCCAAAGTATGGGGGAATTCATTGTCCTGCGTGTGAGACGCTATATGTAATAGGACGTGTATTTTTTTACATTTGGCAGAGAAGCGCATTTCATATGTTGAATTCTAATTTTGTGATTCGTTTTAAAAAGACGTGAAGATTTTTCAGACGTGCAAAAATAATGTTAGTCGATTGGTGGTTTTTGCCTGAATGGTACTACAGTGTTGATTTATGTTGATTTTACAAATATTTTTAAAAAGATTTTACAAATATTTTTAAAAATATTTGTAAAATCTTTTTAAAAATATTTTTAAAAATTAGAAATAAATTAAAATTTTTAAATATTATACCGTGCAAATATGTTGCATTACAGTTCCATATTTCCACCATATATGAATATTTCTTTAAAAAGTAGTTTTTTCGAAAGAAACAGCTCTGAAGAAATAATTGCTGGGCTCTGAACAGAGCTCGTTATGAGTTCAGAAGTATCTTACGCATATAATATACTATTATATACTATATTGTGTTTGTGAAAATAATTTTCACTAATGACAGGAAGAAAGAAGACAATGTTCCATTTTAAGGGGTTAGCAACTAGTTAATGTTGATTTAAAATTTCAATACAATATATCCTTTTTATGAAATTATCAAGAAAAGAAAAAGTTCCTCCCACAATTTAAAGAAAATTCGATTGTAAAAGAAATAATGCTGCGTGTATTTTACGAGAATGACAGAGAAATTAATGATTTAGAGCTACGCGCTGTTTACAATGAATTTCTCTTACCCCGTATCCTGGTATACGGAAAATCAAAGTAGTTTATATTTGACTGGAACGCCCGCACGTTTATGGTCAGAGAAGGTTCAACCCGGGATGTAAATTCGGTTTCCGTACGACCAAGGGACCGCATTGGAATGATAATTGAACAGGTTTATGACAGATAGAATGAACCCTCAAGTGGGATGTTCTTTAGGGGCAGTACGTCAAGAGGTTTAGTTCGGTACCGAGGGTTTAGTTCAATTGAAATTCGCAGGTTTCTTTTCATAATTTTATATTAGAAAAAAAATAATAATAGAGAACAAAGATTATTAGCGTAGATTATTTAATTAACAGATTGACGTGTTTGAGAACGTTATAATTATGAATCGTCTCTTTTATTAGATTCTATTGAAAATTACGTTCTTTGTAACATGTACAGATATTAGTGCATTATCAATCTTGTATTAGATGGTTCATTCGGAAATATACATTCTACACCATCATACTTATGTATGTTATTGGAATTTTATTCATCAATAGAGGCAAATTTAAAATAAGCATAATTTTATTACTTACGTCATATCCAGAGAATTCACCCTTGCCTGGTGGCCCGGGAGGTCCTTGAGCACCCTTCTCGCCGGGTATTCCATCGCGACCAGGTTCTCCTTTCTGTCCTTGAGGACCTTCCGGTCCCGCTATTCCTATGTCTCCTTTATCACCCTTAGGACCCTGTGGTCCTTCCAACCCTCTCTCTCCAGGTGGACCAGCTGCACCCTGCACAATCCATTAGCATTATTGAAACTTCGACAAATTCAACAAGACTGATAAATATTAATAAAGTTGAAAAATTCGCAGAGTAAAATATCAAGGTTGACGTTCGTTACGTCGTAACGTCGTCATAACATCGATAGTGTAATATTAAGGGTTTCGAGGGGATCGTTTGGTTAGTCTACAAAATATATCCTTTATTTAACACGTTCGACGATTCGATGGTTCACATTATTGAATTCCAATCGTTTCGTTCTTTTTTTTTTTTTTTTTTTTTTTATTTTTTTTTTTTGGGGCTTTTGTTTGGTTTTTACAAAGCGTCAATACCGTCAGCCCCATCTGGCCTTGTTTCCCTTCTTGCCCCGGCACTCCTTGCTCCCCCTTCGGTCCTTGGATCATCTTTGGCATCGTAAAGGATGCCATCAGGGCTGTTGCATTGCAGGTGCACGTGCCGGGGTCTCCTTTCTTCCCTGGCGGACCCTGCAGCATTTTGATCAGTCTGTCATTGCAAATATATACACTCGGTTGGTTCACGACAGTGAACACGGGTAAACTTTGTTACGTGCCGGGTTCCCTAACGGCTAATCGAATTATCGGATAACAAAACTTCTGTCACGGCGACTTTGTAATTGTCCATTTACGCCGTATCCATGATTTTGCAATATAATTAACTCTCTCTGTCATCGGCGATACGATTTAATATCTCGCGGAAAGGAACTGGATAATTCAAATGAATTTAGTGTAGCGAAAAATCTCTAATCTTCAATTTCTCTAGCATATAGCAGCGTATAGTATACGTACGAATTGAGAGAGCTACGATCTAAGTGAAGAACGTGGAATACAATTTTTTTTTTTTCTATACAAAATTCTGTTTCCGAGAAGATTGGCTTTTAAAAATATTTACCTAATATCTAAACTCGTTTACGTGTGTCTCTATCAAAGATTAATAGTGTAGTGGAAGTATAGTATAGTGTGATAAACCAAAATTTTCATGTATTTTCATTTATAACGAAAGAAAAAAATTTGGAGACAAAATTTATGATTAAGCCCCCCTTTTCGGTTGCACCGTTAATCACGAGACATTCTAGCTAGTAGTATTTAAGAATAGCAAGATTAATTTAAAAAGCAGCAAGATTGAAAAGTGGAGAAAGAACGAATCGTCATAAATTAGATGGCTCGATGTTGAAAATGGATCACTGGCTATCACAGAAATGTCACCACGGTACTACTCTCATTTGACTTTTACTTTATCGACTTTCGATTAGCCAAAATGTTCCGGTATCGATTAATCCGGTATCGATGTATATTTCTTCCAATTTATGCATTTTCTTTTTTTCTTCTTTTTTTTTTTCTCGCGCACACGATTTGATTGGACGTTACTTCAGTCTCATTCTTTTCCTTCGATCGAATCGCGAGCGGCGTAGCGTTCGGGAGAATTAGGAGCATTTTCGTGGCACGGGCTGAATGCATCAGGCGTTAAACAAATAGAGTCGCGTTCATACCCGTATGCTGATAATTTCGGAAGATAGTGAATATCGTGAAAGCGGTTCCTCTGTAATCAATGTTACATGCAGTGGTTACCAGTACTTCAGCATGCTGGCTAAATTGGCTTGCTCGAGTAGCAAGATAAATGAGTGATCCCGGATTGGAATGCATTCAAGCTCGCTTCATATGCACAAGCGCTACTGAATTATTATTGCTGAAATACGTGTGTGTATGTGTGTGCGTGTGTGTGCACGTTCTCATATATATCTCGAATAATGAGAGATTTCTAGCTCTGTGGATCTTCGTTGCTGTTAAGTACAGATTCCTGTACCTACTTAAGCGCTTCGCAAATGAATACTTTCATAAAGGGGATACTCTCTAAAGAGTTAGAACTGGAATTCGATTTTTCATTTTCGAGCTCACTTTTTTTGCAATCGGAATACGAAAACGACAAGAGACCAAAGTATTTCGTTGTGCGAAATATTTTGAAATTTTGTTACATCATGCTTGCATTGATAAAGTTTGAAACAAATCTGAAATTAAGCCTATATAACCGAATAACGTAATTGCATCGATAAAATTTGAAACAAATCTGAAATTAAACTTAATAGGAAGTTATTTTAACATATTTATTACAAATACATATATATGGTATTCGTGTATCAAGGAAATGTTTTAACGAAACATATTCCAAATTCATTTTCTCGAAAATGAAGCTTTAAATGAAATAAACTCATTCTACATTTTTGACCTATTTTTGCGCGTCGAATAACTTTTCGTTAATTATTCTTTTTTCGTTACGTCTAGAATCAGCTAAATTCAAGTATATTTGGTATATTTTTAAAATCAATTTTCTCAAGAAAAGAAGCTTTAGATGAAAAATTTTATTTTACATCTTTGATTTATTTTCTCATGAGAAATTATCCTCTTCACTCTGTAGAATTTTGTAGAAATCAGATCTCCTTGATTCAAACAGTCAATTATATCGTATTAATATTCAGCGAGGTCATATTTAACGTTTATTATGTATACTCCCATGCTCAAGCTATTCGCTGTAACTAATTTACATTTCCAGATTGGTTTCAAATTTGCCCAATATAATTATGATGCTCCTGTTTCGTTATAATTCCAACGAAATTTCTAAATATAAACTTCAAAATATTCTATAGATAATTTCTAAATATTCTGTAGCTAATTTCTAAATATAAACTTCAAAGTATTCTATAGCTAACTTTAAAATATACCTAACATATATATAGAATCTGGACGTAAAAAATTTTGGTGTGAGTCACTATACGTTAAGAAAGTTTGAAAGAGGGTTTTTGAAACTAATACACCTAGTTCAGAAATAAACTAATGCAGTAAAATTACCACACACGTCGTTAATTCACTCAAGTTATGAAAGTGGCTTAAGTTATGAAAATATATTCGTTCGTTGACATTCGTAATTTATGATAAACGGCCGTCATTACTTCGGTATGAAAGGTGACTGTTGTTTCAACAAGTCTGTGGAATAATGTTAAATCAATACAAATATGGTTCCCCTTAATACGCGTACTTACTACTGGATTATTATTCATTTATTGTAATGAATACAGAAAACACATCCGTGAAAATATGTTGCCATAAAGCGATAAACAACATCTCGTGACAAAAATAGTAATGATTATTTTCCTGTTTTCTTCATTCGTGCCCCTTTAACGATAATTCTGTTTATTAGATCGCTGCATGTGAAATGGTTTTACAATCGTGTAAAATCATTCAGAATTTTATGATTAAAAATATTATTAAATAATGCTTATTTAAAGTTTGAAATTTTCATATAATACGGTGTTTCATAAGTGGTTTTGTTATAAAAAAAAAAAAAAATAGATTATGCATTAGATATGTCAGAGAAACTGTTCGAAATCTATGCATCCTCGACGTGTGAAAACAAATTTACAAATGGGAACGAATTTACGAAATTACTTGTAATTAGACGAAGAAATAGAGCAAACATGTTCTGTCATATCTCAAACTGTTTATATAATCGAATTTACCACTAAATTGGTGGTGTTGGCGTGACGTGATCAGTAAGCTTAAAATCATCTACGAAAAACTCGAAACTTCACACATATATATATATAAAACAGATGTTCGTGAAAAATTTCGATTAGAAAATACAAACGATTTTTATTGTAACAATCATAAAATTATTTGGAGTGAATAAAAAAATCAAATCGATATGACTGATATTTTCGGAAAGAGCAAAAAAAAAAAAAAACCTCTGAAAAACTTATTATTATTAAGAATTTCGCCATTTCACCTGCAACGAGCTAATAATTTCCTGTCCGTTTATTTGACGTTTCCCGTTGAATGACGCAAGACTGTGTCAGTATTTAGGTCGTTCGATATTCTTTCATAACTAAATAATGCGGTAACGCGTGGTCGTAAGCGAAACCTGACGCAAACGCGCGATCCTGTAATATGCGCGACGCATTCAGCCTGCCTTTATACGTGTATAGACTGCGTGAACTATAACAACAAGTCCACCGGTTTGTGTAAGGATTGCTAATGGAACATCTTCGGGTGCGGTACGATACATACACACGATATAATGCATGCGATATGCTACCAGTACGAGTATATAATACAGTTCGGTGTGTGCAATTTGCATAAATTACGCGGGCATTTATGCATTCTACGTGCCGCGTAACGTACGTAGACGACCGGATGCGAGTCAACTTTAAATCCCACCTTAAATTTAATTCCGCGTTTTAGAACGAATGGAAATTACTGATTAGCGTGTAAAGGAGGGATACGCGCGGGCTTAAAGCTGCTTAAAGCTGTAGATTGTTCAATTGTTTCTTTGTCCTAACCCGCGGCTACGTAACTACCCGTTTGGTTATAGATGACTGTAGTAATTTGTGCCGGATCGCTGAAATTTAGTCCATTTACTACGATACATACATAACTATCCGTTTGGCTATAGATGACTATACGTGTAATGGTAATTTGTGTCAGATGAATGAAATTTAATGTATTTTGTGTATTAGTAAAAAAGTTAAATTAAATGAAAAGTTTCAAAATTAATTTAAATTCTTACGATCTCCCTTCATCGATATCAATTATTATGTCGATTAACACTGGAACTAGCAAAATGGTCAAAACGACCAATTTGTGATTCGTTTAGAAACTTCATAGATGCAAAACAGCGTATTTTTTAATTAATTTATTACTAATAATTATTTAATATATTTAGCAATTTAATAATTATTATTAATATTTTGTAAAATATATAAATTCTATTTCTTTTACTTTAAATCTTTCTAGTTTCTAATAGAAATTTTATGTTTTAATCGTCGGTTGTTCCAACGTCAAGTCCAATGATATCAATTAAGAGTTAATATTCTTGATTGAAGAGTTATTAAAATTTGATTTAATTGACAGATATCTCACAGGTTTATGAGGTTTTAACTTTTGATCATGTAAAAACTTTATAACTGTTTCTTCTCCTTGCACTCCAAATTGCGTACTTTATCAGAGAAAGAGTTCTATCTTTTCTTATTCGGGGCGTGATTATAAAAATATCATTAGATACGAATTTCACGTACGTTACTTCGTTAGTATTAATAAGATTATTTACCTCATCTTGACCAGGTGGACCAGGAGGACCTGGAGGTCCCCTAACACTCTCTCCTTTGTCTCCTTTATCACCTTTGTCACCCTTTGGTCCTTTGTCTAGGAAATTTAAGAACAACGTGTTATGAATCATATTTGAATGAAAGATAAAACATACCCGTTCCTTTCGTCTATCGTAAGCTATCTGTAAAAAGAAAATTTGCACAAGCATTCTTGTTTGTCGATCGACAAAATCAACTGGTTTATTGGTACTTTAATCATAATATTTAACGTAACAAAACGAAAGTATCATGCAGTCTGAAATTTGAAGAAACTTTCCAAAGATCCATTAGAAATTTTCTTATAAAATTCAGTATATTTTTAAAACGAGAATGCCAAGTGAATATTTGATTTCACTTGAATTAAAGAAATTCATTGATCGTTTGAAACTAATAACTGAACGATGTTTGAGAACACACAGTGATTCGATCGTTCTCTGCGATTGTGTGATCATTTTCGAATATCATCGGCGAAGGATGCTCGTAACGAGGTGTTCGGTGATCAAAGAAAGCTCTCGTTTAATGGAATTTCGAATGTCGCCGCCAGCAGTCAGGGTATTTCTTATCTGTGATCTTATGATTAAATAAACTCGCAAATTCCTCGCGATTACTCACAGTCCGGATTGGGAGGAGGGGGTGGATTGATGAATGGCGGTGGATTGCTTTCCTCGCTTCTGTCTTCGTCATCGTCTCGTCCGATCTGAAAACGGATGGTAAGAAGAAATGTTGAATAAGAACACTAACCGTGATTTATATGTCGTTATATGGTAAAAGAAACGGGGGGAAAAAAGGGCGGGGAGAACGCCAAAGAAGAAAGAGGTAAAGAAAAACGAACAGCGTAAAAGTTTCATCGCTTATGGGTGGGCGTGATTGATTGCACGTTGCGTTGCGTCGGCTCGATCTGTTCGCGATGGGAAAAGCAGAGAAATCACTTCGTTTTTAGCGATTTGTTATTGAGCTCGTAGTTAATATACCGTGTGGGGAAGCATGCGTTAACAAACGGGCAAAAGAAGTACTCGGAGAGTATTTAAATATTAATGAAGCAGAGAAATGTGTTTAATATCCGCTCAATTTTCTTTTTTATTTAATTACTATTTTTTTTATTATTATTTTATTACTATTTTTTACTATTATTTAATTACTATTTTTTTTACTATTATTTTATTACTATTTTTTACTATTATTTCATTACTATTTTTTTATTATTATTTTATTACTATTTTTTACTTACTATTTTTTACTTATTACTATTTTTTATCTTATTATCATTTTTTACTATTATTTTATTACTATTTTAATTACTAAATATCGCGCTGCTTTGTAAGATTCCACATTCAAAAGATTACAAGTAAGATATATAAGTTATTTGTAGATGTGTGTAGATACACATTTTTATTTTTCAAGTAATTTTCGTTATAATTCAGACGAGGCGTCACGACACTTCACAACACAATGTTTTAAAAGTTCTGTAGCTTTACGAGAAAAAGATTTAAAATACGCGGATGGTGTAGCCTCGCTGAAACATTTCAATTTTCTTTACTGAAAGCTCTTTTCTATAACAGAGTTTCAGGAAAAGGATTATATTTTTAAATTGTAATTATACAGTGGAAGGGAATATAAGGATTTTGAGAAATGGAAGGAAAGGAGTGTTGCAAAAAAAAAGGCTCTCGATTTAGAAAAGCTATTTTCTCTACTCTTTCGTCGGATCGTTTTGCGCGACACACGAAAACACACGCACTATTTTTCATAGAGAATGATCGGCTATTGGCATCGCGCGGTTATAGTTTTCTATCGAGTGTCTTCTTTAGAGATTAATTAGAGCGTTCAAAATTGAAGGATCAATTTTTCGAGTGGAATCGTGCTTCTTTTTTTTTTCTTTTTGCTCTCGAAAAATGAATGATATCGCACGGGAGGGGACGGTGATTAATGAACTTCCGGTTAAATCAAGCGGAACGGTTAGCACATATTTGCCCTAAGTACTTTCCGATAATTATTAGCAACGATGTAGATTTATCGAGCCGAGCCGCACTTTGACAGTTATTCATCGTTGATTTTTCAGTTGACGTATCTGAAAACATCGTTTTGTTTAAATATTGATTTGTTTGCGACACTGCCGTTCGAATATTTTCTACTTTAAATAATGCGTTCACGTAAATTGTCGGACATTTAAAATTATTCCAATTACGACCAATTATTATTATTATTTTCTTTAGTGTGACATAAGAGGTGTTACAATCATTTAATTTAAAAAAAATATTAGAGATTAATCTCATCATCTATTTAATGACTTGGTATTTTTGATAAAACACGGTTTTATGTATTTTCATTTTTTAAATTATATGTAATCCATTCTAAGGATTTTTCAATTCTTCAATTCTAGAATAATTTGAAATAATGAAGCTAGTTAGTCATACGAAAACTACTTTGATCAAATACTCATAAATGTAGAGTGAACCTATGTTTATTTCGCACAAGAATTTAAATTTTTTATCAATTAATTATTAAATTTTTAATTGTATTATTCAATTGAAATATGTGTATTATTAATTCCATCAAAACGAACCAATCATAATGAAAAATATTACCTTTACATTATAAAAATATAGCGAACCTGACATTATCTCGGTGATTGTAATTTACAAAATTGACATTCAAAATTTTCTCAAAACTGACACAGGCAAAATACTGAAAAATTTAGCTCCAAGATACTCGTCGTGGAATCGAAAGCGGTCGTAAATTGCAAATGTTTAAAGAAACGACGCGTTGCGGTTGTGAAGCAAAGGAAATTAAATTCGATCCTCCCTGCGTTTGCATCATTTCTACCTCTTTGTCCCTTCACTGGCTATGCTTTTTCTAATTCACGAATGATGGAACTGTCGTGATACTTTTTTACGTTTGTCCCATTTGAAATTCTGTAGAAACTAGAAAACAGTAGACAAACAGGATCAAGTCGACGCGTATAGGGTCCCACGGATTTGGAATCTCCCGCGGGAAATATAATGCAACAACATCTTCCATGTTTACGATCTACTACGATCTTTTAAGTGACGCTTTAGAGTGACATTAAACTAGCTCCACGGTTTTCTATAAAATCTTTATTTGCCGACGGGATTGCCTTTCGTCTACATATAAACAATGAAAAATTGCCAATCGAATGTCGTCTCTTCGACAGGGATCAGTGGGTTACGCATTGTTTCGTATTGTGGTCCACGTGGAATAAATATGAAAATACACGACGATGTTTGTAAGAACATATCTGTAAATATTGGTATTGTTATCGTACGTGATATTTTTCTATGAAACGTCGTTGCCTTAAAGTCTATGTATCGTTGTTTTTCAGAACTGTCTGCAAAGCAAATTGTTGCTTACTTTTACCGATTGTTTGCAGCCACGTTATCATTGTATCAATATATCGTTGCATGTCATTAGCAAGTTAGTTGAAGTCGTTTTTACGAAGGAAAATTGTTTGAAAATTGTTTCGTTGAGCTCTAAGTTGGTAAGCGGAAAATTTATCACGGTGTGGAATGAGGTAATTTTCACACATTACGGAAGAAATGTTATTTTTCCTCGAAAAACACGAGTTTATTAATTTTGCGCGACTTATCTTGATTATAGAAATTACGAACTGTGAGATCGTTTATTGCATCTTTTTTTTTTGATCACAAGGAAAAAGACTGATTTCTAATTTCAAAATACCGATAATTGCGGTAAATCGATATAGACACAGTGATGTATAAATAAAATGTCGATCGAAATAACGTAGCTTCATGGAGAGTGAAATTCGATTCGAATTTAATTCTATCCACGGAATTATACAATTTGGCAGCTTCTCTGAATCTGGATTGTAGATTAAATCCCGAGGCAGATGGGAGCGGACTTCCTTTAACCGCAACTTTCCTCTTTTCGCATTTAATCAGACAGCTGTTTTTGTTGAAAACCAAAAAATACTCTTTCTGATCTCGATAGAATCACCTTTATATTTTTTCTATCAGTTCATCGTTTCCATCGTTTCACAAGATATATGTTCCCTTCGTTTCTTTCAGGACGTTCAGTTACGTTCAGCGATTTGTTCGCCGATCGAGAAAGAATGAAATTGTTTGGTAATTAACGTTTTATTATCGGATCGATAGGTATCTAAGTCACGAGTTCGAGGCAATTTGTAATTCATGTCTTTCCACGTATACACGGGAAGACAAATTTACATTCCGTGCCGCCGTTACGCACAAGTAAAAGCACGCAGGCAAATATTCCCCCAGACCGAGTATATTTTGTACGAACTTTATTTACCGATTAAATACACCTATACTTGGATTACAGTTTACGCACGTCTGCTAAGTGACTAACGAAACAATTAACAAATGGACGTATCGAGTTATAGAACAAAATGCATAACTAAATGAAATCCTCGTTTACTTTACACAGAGCATTTCAGTTTCAATTATGAATATGGATACGAATTTCAATTCGCTGGAATAATTTTCCAATACGAGACAGTCGTATGAAGAAATTTTTATATATTTAGGATTTATTTTGTGTCAGCTCAGCAGTCAACGAATTTCTTATTGATCGTATGAAAGGAAACAGGCCTATTAATATTAGAAGGATTAATGTACAAAAATTGAGTCAAAGATATTAGAATACAAGGAATAGGAAAATACGATCTATAATACGATACATATATTTTATAAAAACCACTCGAATTTCTAAAAAAATGTAACGCTGTAAATCTGCAAAATTACTCTAAAAAATTACAGATTGGTCATTTTGACCGCTTTGGTAGTTCTAGTGTTAATAATTAATTAGAAAGAAGGTGAGGATTCATTTTTGTCACTAAATATCAAGTCGCGAAAAATTCACACAACATCGACTCACAAATTGTTCCAGAAAATGATTAATTAATCGGCGATCAAACGATTCTTCTTCTTTTACAATTTCGATAAAAGTTCGTACGCATTTTTTTACTACTTACAAAAAAAAAAAGGTTCTTCCGCGAGTTATAAAATTCTTCTTTCTATATACGTATAAGTTTGTCTGACTGTCATATTATAAAGAACGTGTCGCTTCAGCAAACCTCAGCAAACATCAACGCTGTGTTTTAATTGTCTCCGACACTTTCGCGTTAAACAAATTCTTGGATAAAAGCGCGGGATAGGATTTTTCTGATAGACGAATTCCTGGAACAACCGGGGCAGAAAAACATGTGGATGGAGAGAGAATGAAGTTTCATCAGGGGGTCGCGCACAGACACACACGCGTCGTTGAAACAACATCGACTCGGGGGGGGGGGGGGGGGGGGGGGGGGGGGGAGGCACACGTGAAACCGATGGCCGATTGCAATAACACATAGCGCACGCCGAACAACGAGAACAGCCGAACAGTTGTTCCAGTGAATTCGTTCACCCGGTATACGTACATTCTGATCAGCTGCAAGCATGCACGGCTGCGTCTTTGCATCGCCGTTCCGGGAGCTTTTCTTCTGAAGTAGGATTTCACGGGTGAAATAAATTCCTCGGGCTTCCTTTTTCCTTCTCTGCTTTCCACTTTTTTTCTTTCCTCTTTCTTCTTCTTCCCCCCCCCCCCTGCCCGCCCGCCCTCGCCTCCTCTCCCATTTCCTTCCGTTTTGTTCGTTCGACGAGGAGCCGACAAGGATAGGAAGTACGAACGAATTTTCCGGACGGCTCGGTTGACGCGGCTCTGTTC